TATTATTGAATTGATCTAGTTGTTTTTTTTGGTATATGGTATTGGAAGAGGCCCTAATAACATGGGAGATGCTGCCAAAATTTACATAAACGAGCTACTAGCTTAAGTTTCGAACTTAGCCTTTATTTAGCACTAATTTTGAATTTCCTTATTCTATGGTAGATGTAGTTGAGTTGTTTGAAGAATGACTTGGAAGGTATTAAGGACTTGACGGAGTTAAGGTATGCTAAGGCTAAACTTTTTCTTCATTTTGGCATGATCTCATAACAACTTGTGTTTGATAACAAGACATAAAGAGAAGTTCGTATTCTTGAACTTATGTACATTATCATAGTCTCATAAATTACATTATTCTTCCTTATAGAGACTTTATATTCAATTATGTATTGTCTTCTTCCAGTCAAAAGAGCTGAGGGTCTATATATATACAGTATTACAGTATGTTTACCACCATCGAGCTATAATCGATGGGCAGGTCCCTATTGGGCAACCTCTGATCAGATGATAAGATATATACTGAGCCTACTATGGCCGAGTGCCTATGAGCGAGCCCAAAATAGCCGAGATACAAAGCCTAATATGGCCGAGTGCCTATGAGCGAGCCTACTACGGCAGAACAGTTATATGTACCGAGCCTTATAGGGTCGGACAACTATTTTACTTACTATATTGAGAGAGTTGAGTCAGTATCAGCAGGTAAGCATATCTCTAGATCATCTTGGACTCCTAGTTACTTTCAATTATTATATTATTTGTTCAGTTTCAGCTTTCAGTTATTATGTTGCCTTACATACTCAGTACATTATTTCGTATTGATGTCCCTTTTGCTGGGGACGTTGCATTTCTTGCTTGCAGTTCTTGATAGACAGCTGGATAGACCTTCCCAGTAAACAGAGTCAAACATTAGCTCGGTTGGTAAGCTCCACTTCCTCGGAGTTACTGGTCTAGACCTTGGAGTCTATTTTATATATACAGGTTTGATGGGTAGGTCGAGGCCCTGTCCCGNTTCAGAATATGGCCTCATCGGTTTAAGTTGAGGGTCACCTCTCCAGAATTTACAATTATAGTGTGGAATGCTCGGGCCAGGTATGTCACTAGGTGCTGGCCACGCCTCCTCAAGTTTGGGGCATGGCAGTTCAAACTCCAGACACAGTCCCTGACACCAAAAAAACTGCTTCTTTTGCAGCTCGAGGCATTATTCCGGAGAAGTCAACCATAAAGTCGACTAAAACTTGTGACTTGATTGGAGTCTATGGTTTATATTCAATATCAATCTCACTAATTTTTACTGCCTATTTAGCCAATCGACCTAATAACTCGGGCTTATGAAGGACGTTCCGCAGGGGAAACGTCGTCAATTGGCTATAGGGTGAGATTGAAAGTTTGGTCTAAGCTTTCGAGCGGCAACTCTAGAAAAAAGATATTCAAATCTATTTATTGGAGAGAAAGACTATTTATTTTTCAACACTAGAAATATTTTAAAACTTTGAATTAAGATACTCAAATCTTCATATTAATAAATAATATTTTTTACAATAAGATCCAACATAACGAATTGTAAATACGTGGCTAACATCTTATTAACTTGATTTTTCTTACCAATATAAATATTAATATTATATTTTATATGATAACTACACAATAGACAAAAAGAAAGAAAGAAAAAAGAAACCAATGTAATATTAATACTATATTTTGCAAGATAACTATACAATAGAATAAAAAGAAAAAAAAACTAAAGTCTCTTATTGAAATTTGGCTTTAGGCCTGGAGTTTTATTGAGACGTCTTTGGCTGACTTATCTTTATCTTGTCATTACTGTTACAAGTATGCTCGAGAAATGTCCACCTATAATCCTTAATTAATTTTATGGTAGGAATATTTTATTATGTTTTCATATGCGTTATTGTAATATGCATTAATATTTTAAATGTTTTAATAAAATATATTGACAAATTTAAGGGACACTCGATGTATTCCACCAAAAAATGGATGAAAAGCAGAAGTAAAAAATGAGAAGCAGACGGGGGAGCCAACCCAAGGGAGGAATTCAAAAATAGCCAAATTTATCTGCGGTCATTCAAAAATAGTCTTGCTTTCAAACGTAATCGAAATTTAACCACTTTTCATGTAAAGATAAATCTAAACAAAAACATTGCTCAAAATCCGAAAAACACTCCAGTATAATATACTGGAGTTCCGGCATAAGTATACTGGAATATACCGGTCCAGTATAATATCCTGAAAATTCATATACAGGTGCTAGAATCTCCAGTATATTATGCTGGAACTTCCCGCGTGTTGGAGTCCAGCATAATATGCTGGAAGTTCATATAGAGGTGCACCAAACTCCAGTATATTATGCTGAACCGGTCTCTGTTGCAGTAAATTAGTGGCTATTTTTCAATGACCTGACAAATGTTGGCTATTTTTAAATGATCAGTCCAAAAACTGGTTAGCCCGTGCTATTTTACCCGACCCAATGGTAGGGAGAGGTACATCACATTAGGGGCGGGCGTAGTTTGGGCAAACGCAAAATCCAAATCGAAATCCGAATTTTTAAAATTTTTGGTTTGGATTTTGGATTAAATTTTTAAATTTTTTGGATTTCGGATTGGATGTTGGATTTGAGAAAATTTTATACTTTATATTTAGTCCATTATCTAAATGTCAATAATAATAAGTTAAACAACCTATACATTAGATATTATTTCATATATGCAATATTAATTGCTAAGGTACTGTCAGAATACTCTCTATTTGGACATGATTTTACTATTTACTTCTTATCGGCCGTATTAATATCTCTGTTGCATTTTCTTGATAGTAATTTCATCACTTGAATACTTTATTTGGATGATTGCGGTGAGAATGAGTAACTTTTTCAGGAAATTTAATATGATTACTTCATTTGGATATTCATTTTTGTAAAAAGAAAGAAACATGTCAACTTATAAGCTCAAAACCGAAAATCCAAAATATTCAACCCGATTAATCTGAAACAGAACTTAAAAAATTTCGATCCAATCCGAGCTTATTTGGTTTGGATTTGGATTGTCATTTATTCAATCCGAAAATCGAAAATCCAAACCGAAATTTTATATTTAATTCAAACTGCCCGAACGCCCACCCCTACATCACATACGAGTAATTCAGTCAAATATAGGTGAGTCGACCCGATCCGGCCTGTCATTCCCCTAAATCCTAATCGGGAATGACTGGATATATAAGCGAGTAAAGCGACCCAAGCATGATCCAACTGGGAAGTATAGACTAACTAGTGGGTGTTTGCCCGGGCTTACTTTTATATACAAATGTTATAAACTTTTTCGGCTACCGAATATAAATAGTTTTTGGTGCAGACTAAAAGTGATAATAACCCTTTAATAGTGTTGTTAACATCATTTGTTAAGCCACGTTTGCATTTAAATTTGCCATGTTGGTTTTTCATATGATGATAAAATTCATACATTTGAGGGCTACTTGCAACATGTCTAGACCAGTGAATGCGAAAAGAAATAACAGATTTGATTTTTTAACTTCTTCTGAAGTTGGAAAAGCTATTCCAATATTAAGATCATGCTGTATGTGAGATATCGTTCCATCAAGATTCACATGATTTGCATTTGCGAGAAGACAGAACTTGCCCTCACTCATCCAAACCAGCCTCAAAAAGCGATCGGAAAGCGAAGCCCTTCCTTCCATTCCAAGCCGGCGAAGCCGCCCCTATATCTAACCACCGCTCACCCCGACCACATATTGGCACGTTCATGATGCATCATAATCAAAAGGCCGTAAAGTAAAGAAGACCTATGCATCAGTGTACTGTCATGATCACATATTAGCTCGATTTTATTGACGGCTTGAAGGCGAAGCCGCCTATTTCTTAGGGCAAAGGGCGCTCCATCCTCCTAACTCCTTCCACTTCTCCCAGGGACAGGAACTACGGCTTGACCTTCGGGGAAGAAGTCCGTGGGACCCCTCCTTCGAGGGCGCCTAGATAGTGAAAGGTTATCCCTTTGCAACGCTGGAAGCTAAGCAAAGTCACGAAGCTGGCTGACTACGCTCGAGCAGAGCTCAGACCCGGAGGTGGTGGCTGAACTCGCCGCAGAGTTCAGGAGCGAGCAAGACTATCTTGGTGAATGCAATAANATTAGTTGTTGCCTGTCAATATTTGAGGCGGCGTTGCAACAACTTTTCTTCTTTCTGAATCATTGCTAAAGAGTTATCTATTTTACGGTATTGGTATTTTTATCATGAGCTTCGTTTACTGAGCGAGAATTCTTTTTTTGATTGTCAATGATCCATTAATGTGCTTTTTCGCAAGCGTCGGTACTCCAGGCGTCCTGCAAGTCAATGTGAGACCTTGTAAATATATTGTTTCATCAAATAACAAGAGATCATGAAGGAACAATTCAGAATGTCTGCACAATGACTATCTCTGGAGTAACTCATGCCGCACAAAAATAGAATAAAATATCACAATACTAAGAAGGAAAGAGCGTAAACTGAGACATGAACATAATGCTGTATTTTGTCCCGGGCCCGGGCCTTAGTGGGCCTAACGGGCCGGGCCTCGCGGTCCCGGGCTTCGTGGTCCCGGGCTCTAGCGGTCCCGGGCCTGGCGGTCCCGGTCTTTGTGGGCCTAATGGGTGGAACCGGCCCGTGACGGGCCTAAGCCCACATGGTCCTGTGCTTAACGNCGAGCAGCCCTACATGAACATATAAAAAGCCACCAAATACAGAAATATGGTCATCTAATCAGCAAAAAATAATGTATAAAACTCAAATGAACAAAGCAGCACAAATCAAAATAGATAGTCGTTGCTAGCTTTGCAGGAAAGTACTTAGAGGAGACTGAGTAAAAATAAAAATTAATTACTACTTGTTCCTTTAATTTTGCACAGCAAAATAAAATCTTTTAAGAGTTCTATATGTCCCTTTAGTGTTGGACTCCTTCGAATTTTCTGTTCGCCAAGGTCAATTTCACGCCGTACCCGAAAGGAAAAAAATAATAGACCAACTTCTTTACCTAGTTGAAACAATACTAATCCAACAGAACTTGCCACAGGAAAAGGAACCCTAAAACAGAAAATCTAGGTATGTGCAAATAATAAATTCAATTTTCGTTATCACAACCACAGTAGGAAAAAGGAAAAGTTAACTAAATTCAGAAACCAGCCGAAACTATGCAAACATCTCCGAAATCCCAGGTAAAGCCATCTCAGAAAATTAATTCTAGCGATTGTGAAGTATATACAAAAGAGAGAAACCATCGACCAACTATTTTACCCCAATTATACAGTTTAATCGAATAGGACCTGTGATGAGATAATAATTTAAAAATAACAGAAGGTGAGAAAATCAAAGAAGAGAGAAGAGCGCAAAAGTAAACTCACCGGACGTACAGTTTTAGCTAGAATGCAATCTCAGCTATATTCAATGAGCTCCAGCTAAACTCCGTCAAAAGCAAAGATGGCATTCACAACCAAAAGATTGTAAGTCATGAGTTGTACCTTGTATAAAACAGAGGATTCAGTGATGACTAAAATAAGGAGTAAAATAATATTAATTAAGAAGATGCAACAAATTTTAAAGTGCCGCAGTCCACCTCTCTCTATTTGTTGTGGAAGCTCTCTCGTAGGCGCCAACACTAATGCCAAAAGTCCATCACCACGTTGAAGAGGTTGTTGAGCCAAACAATGCTGCATGGAAAGAGAATAACATGTATTGTAATTATTAAACATCACAACAATTGAAGCATCTCATATAAGCAAGATCAAGTACAACACTGACAGATTCAGAATATGACATGGAAATGAAATACACAACTTGTATCATGGGTATGTTGAATGCAGCGGTCTTCCCATTACCAGTTTCAACACAACCCAAGAGATCTCTTCCACTAAGAGCAACTGGCATGGATTGAGCCTGAATAGAAGTCGGTGCAGTGTAGCCATGCTTTTCAATATCCTTCATGATGCTAGGATGCAAGCACTGCAGGGAGAACAAATAAGCAGGATCCAAATAACTTAATTATTCCCTTAAATTAAAAAATAAATATAGGGATTTATCAATGATGAATTTATATTCAACTAAACATATCAGGAAATGATTCAGTCGTCTTTCAAGTCAAGTGAACCCTACATAGGTCAGGGTTCATTTGGAACTGCGATAACAGAAACACGCTTAAAGTGAGCTAGGAATATGAACGATCGGAGATTATTTTATGAACTTTATCTCCTTTAATTGTATCCAAAATATTACTTGAAGAAAGATAGTATCAAAATCTAGCCAAAATATGACCATGAGGACAACTCAAGGGGAAAGGACCAGATATCACATATGTCAAATATTACAACTTTTCATAATAGAAATGTCCCACTTCACAGAAGTGAAGGTTGTAAGGCACAAACAAAGATCATAAATATCAAACAGAGCTTCTTTCATACCTGTAACATAATTTGGCTGACATTGGAATAGAGTTCCTAAGCAATGTTTATGCTGGTGCATGATGACTTCATTATCTGGCATAAAAGAGAAGTTGTGGGGAATTTTTGAAGCAGCAACATCGCACTGCTGCTTTTCAGCTCGCCCCTCCTCATCCAAAATAAATACGCTATCTTTCTCAAACCACCAACCTGCAGGGTGAGACTTGGTATTACTCTTCTGAAGAGATGAATCTCTATTGGCAGCTCTAGAATCAGTGTTATTATCAAGTATTACAAGCAGTTACAGAGATCTCATGCATTGGAAATAAAGAATGTGAAAAAAATTAAAGCAGTAAGGGCATACAAAAGAAGAGCCGGGGAGATTGAAACCATTCTGAGTTACATAGGATTAGGTACAGATTTGTTCGGGTTCAATACTTCATATCCAATTCGAAATCCAGTAGTAACTAAATTTGCATCCAAAAGCCGCATGCAACTACATTTGAATCCAGCAGCATTTGCGATACTGTGAAAAACAAAATCGAGAATACCAAACACAAGCATGTGCAGATAAGCTGGGATAAAGAGAAGCAAAAAAAGATGGACAAAGCTTACTTAGTAATTGTAGAGGCAGAGCACGTAATAGGTGAATCTATATGTAGACTGATTAAAATTTACCTCTTCATAGTTTCCGTATCTCGCATTTTGCAAGATTAACAATGTCTATTAAACATTTAACTAAATGTCATAATTTATTTCATCCATGCTTGAATCCAACAAAAAAATTGAAACTATAAGAAAGTGGTGAACTATATACTATATAGACACAAAGGAAAAGATTACCCTTTGTAAGGGAAACCCTCTTTGCTTTCCTCAGGGCGGAATGTAGAATATCTATGGATGGCATTACCATCGATAATTTTTGCAATGCACCTATCTTTTCTACTCGGGCGTCAACTTTTCCTACAAGAAAATGACAAATCCTTTCCAATTTCCATGTAAACATAAAAGAAACAGTGCATCCTAGCAAAGTCCATATTCATAGTGTCTCCGTCCCAATTTATATGATAGTATTTCCTTTCAGTCTATGCCAAAAAGAATGAAATTTTCCCATATAAGATGATTTATAGTTACACAAATATCTATAGTTTGTGTTAGAACATAAAATTTCAAAATTCTTTCTTTCTTTCTTGAGTTTTGTGCTCAATTAAACAACATCAAATATATTGAGACAAAGAGAGTAATAAATACCCAACTCTAAAAAATGAGTCTGCTAATAACAGAATTCCAAAAGTGAGATTAAAGGAAAAGATATACTTTTGTTTTCTTGTTGGTCCTAGTTGTGATACTAATCCTTTCACCATTTCATAGGTAGTAGTAGTTTGCATTTGCTTACAGAAACGCGATAGCGGATACAATACACGCATAGGCACCAAGTACAAACCCTGCAAACAGCAACAACACTGTATAAGGCAAAATTTGGCTCTCAACGTCCCCATGCCATGTGAGCACGTCCATTATAATGAGGCCGGCCCAAGGGAGGGCACGGCCTAACTGATAGAACAGAAAGCGACGTCGTTTAGGGTCTGGCTTCTTCCGTACAAAGAAGCCAACCACTTCTGTACTTTTTATTTTGATTGTTTCGATGAAGGTCTCCTACTATATAAAGGAGACCTTCACCTTGTAATAGGGCCGAGTGTTATTATTGATGATACAATTCTCAACTTCTCTCTATCTCTAAACTCTCTCTCTCTCTGAATCTAGCATTTATCAGATCTACTTTTACAACACTACTATTGTCATCTCTAGGGCATATTATATTTGATTACGATTTACCCTTATCCTCTTTTGATTGTTTTTAAGCTTATAAAGTATATTGATAACTTTTTTAGCCAAACAAACACATTTGAATATTTCTCTTATTTCTTATTTCAAATATAACAAACTATTAGGATTTTTCATAAATCAAATTTTGAGGGGAAAAAAAGAGTACCTTTAGAGAGCTTAGAACGCCCTGCGGGGATTGAATTCACCCCCAACTACAATGGGAAACAACTCCAAATATTCCAGTTTTTTTTTGGACGAATTACAAAGAATGATGGACGAATAATTTAATCAGTTTAAACAATTTATACGCAGCAGCTATTCCGAAAATCAAGAAGAAAATAAACTAAAACTCACCTTATAACTGTACAATCAAGGCGAATAAACTGTCCAGGAAGAGAGAAGACTAAAAGAGATGAGGGAAATTGGAAGAGGAGGTGAGCAGCATTGGAAATTTGAGGAAGAAACAGAGCATAGAGACTGCAAATCGGGTGGAAATGAGATGTTCGTTTGAGCGGTGTAAAGCAAACGTGTCAGAGCTAAAGTAGGGTTAACACGTGACTTTTGCCAAAATATTCCTAAATACCCCCGAACGACCCCAAGCTCCGAAAATGTAGAGAGAGACAAACCCTAGCAAGCATTTCATTTACGGTATTTTCATCGATAAAGACTGAGTCTTTTCAATCAAAGGAGAAGCGATGACGCAGAAGAAGAGGAATGAGGTAAAATTAGCAAATAGTAGTAGTTCTGCTCCAATGATACAAAAGGCGAAGAAGAAGAAATCCGTTGCAAATACAAAAAAAAGCTAATCTTTTCAATCAAGTTATTGCTCCAATTCAAGCTTCAACTGTTGCATCACAGAGCGTTTTCAGTCAAGCAAGACTGCAAATAGGTGATCATAGAGCGTCTATGAGGGATAGCTTGGAAAAATTAGTACTGTTTAGAGATTGGATTCGCTCGGAAAGAAGAAACTTTGGAATTGCAGAAGCACAACCGGCGATAGATGAAGCTTATGAAGAAATGATAGCGGAACTTGCGGAGGATTCGGCTTCGCCCGGAAGTGGTGATGAACAAGCTTCTTTTCCACCACCACCAACGCAACCTCCTCCGAACCTTGAAGGATTTATGAGATTTGTTAGAGATAATACATAGACTAATATGTAACTTGTATTTTGGCACATCTTCCTTAGTTTTTTTCCTTCTAATGGTGGTATTAATACCTTGTTGTGCTCATTCAATTGGGGAAGGATGACTAAGAAAGATATGCCATTTTTGGTAATAAAATTTATTGCTTCTATCCTTGAATATCTTTTCGCAATATTTCTTTGTCTTTACTTATAATTATTTATAAGCTACAATATATACATAAGATACAATATATATACTACAAGACAATATATTATGCGAATATATATACATAAGATACAATATATATACTACAAGAAAATATATTATGCGAATATATATACATAAGATACAATATATATACTACAAGAAAATATATAAGAGAATATATATACATAAGATACAATATATATACTACAAGACAATATATTATGCGAATATATATACATAAGATACAATATATATACTACAAGAAAATATATAAGAGAATATATATACATAAGATACAATATATATACTACAAGACAATATATTATGCATGACAATTTAGTGTTTTACTATTGTTTTGTTATTTTTCTTTTTCGTCAAGCACTTTAATAATTAGATCTACATATATACTACATATATATTTTTAATATAGCCATGATACTACAAGAAATTGCCTTAAAAAAAAACCCGCTAGGCCCGCGAAGCCCACGAGCCCGACCCATTAAGCCCAGGACCATGTGGGCTTAGGCCCGTCACGGGCCGGTTCCACCCGTTGAGCCCACGAANCTAAATGAGGGGAAAAAGAGTTTCTCAACTAGAAGAAAGAAGTGGTTAACCCCATTTTGAGAAGTCAAAACTCAAAATAAGCACACCATCCAAAGACGGATATGTACATGAAAATGTAAAATTTGCTATATTTATATGCATTGAATTAACTTAGCAGAATATTGCAGAGCGATCCTCATGTATCAAGATACAACAATAATCAGTAACTCACTAATAGACTATTAGTGAATGGCCCATTTTTGACTTATTAAAAGAAAGAATGACCCATCTTTTGCTCTTCTGTTGTCAAACTATTCAGTGCAATAATATGTTATGCAGCTTAAAGAGGAGCTGCAAGTTTCATCAGCAGCAGCAACAAGGACGTGGTAGCAGCCGAAATGCCGGATTCCTGCTATGGTGTTTTCTTGCCCACGCTGACGCTAGAGCTCAGGATCTTGAAAGATTTATAACCTCTCAATGTCAAAAAGAGAGCAAGGTGACTGCCACTATAAAAGCTTCAAGCTTTATTAGGATTCCATGAATTGAGAGGGTGCAGAGGTCATTTCCAGCCTCCATACCTGCATGTCGTAACAAAACACAACTGCATCATTTGTGAATCATAAATCTATATAAAAAAAAAAAACCAAGTACAATACAGTAAGTAACAGGGAAGTTCAATATTAATTGCACGTTCTGTACAAACGAAAGTCAAGATTTGAGATCATAAAGCACATTTTTTAGTTGAATATTGTTTTTTATACGCAGTTTTATAGTTTAATATTGTTATAATAGGAAGATGGGGTTTTCAGTGAAGTAGCATGAGCTCTACATGTCTAGCGGTTTTAAATTGTTATAACAGAAAAACATCATCAATAGATGCAAACAGGGAGTTGGAGTTTACCAGTAAAGCATACCATGAGCGCCACATATCTCTACTTTGAGTCATTCTCAGACAAGGGCACAGCACTAGACATTAAGTGTGTAAAAGAAATCATCAGTAAAGCCTCAAAAGTATACAATCTACAATTTATTACATCTCAAATAAGAACAAATATATTGAAAACATATGCATGACGGTACTTATCCATCATAACTCTTAGTCTTTACCATGATGTTTAGCTTTTACAAAGCTCCTTCTGATGTAAGGACAGTTTCGAGGAGTTATGCCATAAATCCATCAAAAGCTTCCGCTGAAGCTGCATGTCCCTCATTCTAAAGTTCTTCATTGTAAGCGCCCAAAGTATCAAAGAAGTACAGACAGCTGTATATACAAACAAAGAAGATAGCAGTAAGATATCCAATTATGCTCAAAGAATTTGAATTATAAGCGGAATACCCATTTAAAGTTGGCACAAAATTTCCAAGATTGTGTGGTGAATTAACTTAGAGAAATAGTCAAGCATTAATCTTGTAGTGGCTACTTACTTTACAGGATTGGTGTGATTAAAAAAGGAGGAAAGACTAAAAGAGGGACTAATCAGTTCTTCAATGTTCGATTTAACTCAACATAAACTAGCTCGTCAAATTCCTGAAGCTAAAATGGTTAAAGACCTGCTTATACGTAGCTCTTTTCAATTACCTCCAGTTTAAAAAATGATTCTTAACAAGAGAAAGGTAACTTTGATGATATCAGACTGTAATATGGAAGTCCTTGCCCCAAGTCTACTCAAACTGAGTGTTAAAACGTTCAGCACAGATACAACACTTGACAGAAGAATAGGTGTTACTAGTTAAATTAACCACAAAACACAGTATATTATTTGCTCTTACTTGAGTACAGCAACTCAGACTAGTAGTTCAGATGGACAAGTAATCACTCACAAATATAAATATGACAAGAGTAAATAATTCAACCAGTTGATAGGTGATGTAGAATCACTACTAGACCTTTTTGATTCTCTGTAAGATTTTCAAGGGTTGTACTTGTAAATATTAGATACCAGCCACATTTTTTGGGTGCTGAAGAATATAATTGTTACCTTTTCAAAAGAAAAAAAAAATAATTCAACCAGTTGATAGGTGATGTAGAATCACTACTAGACCTTTTTGATTCTCTGTAAGATTTTCAAGGGTTGTACTTGTAAATATTAGATACCAGCCACATTTTTTGGGTGCTGAAGAATATAATTGTTACCTTTTCAAAAGAAAAAAAAAATAATTCAACCAGTTTCTTCTTTTTATATTGAACATAGAGAAGATGATTGCTCAAATCAATTGAGTAAAATAACTCAAATTTTCAATCTTTTACCACTCACAACTATAACAAATTAATAACATGATATTTTACATCATATATGAAGCCACTTACATATGTGCCTGTTAATAGAAACACCGGCGGCTTAGGAAAATGTACCACAAAGAAAAAGATTTTAGTACCAGTGAAATAAAGATTACCAGTAATATCTACGTATTTCACCTAAATAGATGATAATGTTTTAAGCGATGAATACAAATTAGTTTACCAAAAAATGGGAGAAAAAAAAAAGACGGAAGTAACCCAAACAGTGAAAGGAATGTGTTACCATCTCAAAGAAAACAATGAAAGAAATATATTTTGTTAATGATGCCGACACGCAATCTCCCGTATAGTACACAATTATTTCTGCAGTATTACTTTTAGGTTCCCAGCTGATATTCTCAGAAAGTAGGACACAAACTTTATGAACATGTATCATGTGAGCGATCATATAGGGTGAGGTCAGGCATCTAACTAGGATTTTCCTTTGAAGCAAAGACTATTCCATAGGTAAAATAACCAGCTACCGGAGGCAACATCTGTGATTCTGATTCTGATAAGATTAGATGACCAGCAGAAGACAGCATCATGTGATTCTTAAAATAGCTTCATTGCTGTGTTAACAATAGTAATAAAGAGCGATAATAAGAGGGCAAAAGTGATAACAGTGGGGAAGCTGATTATACAGCAATGTCCTACACTCCTACTCAGGCGCATCATGCTGAAAAGCTATCAGGCAGTTAGTATACAAAAGATGTCTCAAGTTAGATTAACAAAAAGATACCTGCAGTTTATGTCTCTGTCATGTAGTCAACAATTTCCTTCAAGTCTTTTAAATTGCAACCCGGTGTTCTTTCTATTCCTCTCTTCTTCATCCTCTTCTTTGTCTGAGCTACTTCATCCCAACGACCAGCTGCAGCATATAGCAACAAATAATGCCTAAAATTCTTGGGATCTTCCTCAATGAACATATTTGCAATTTGTTCTCCTAAAATTACATCCCTTCTAAAGCGGGTTGAGCCAAGTAATTCAGACCACAATGAGGATTCCAGTGGTAAATTGCTCTCCGCTGGTATGTCCTTCATTGTTTTTATTGCCTCTTGCATTAGGCCAACATTTGCCAGAAGATTAGCCATGCACCAATAATGTGCAAAATTGGGCTTTCTACCAAACAAATCACTCATGACGCCAAAGTGTGTTCTTGCTTCTGCTAACAGTCCTTCATGGGCACAACCGCATAAGACACCCACAAATGCCATTTCATGTGGAAGCACACGATCCCCGTCACCTTGCTTCATGTTCTTAACATGATCTTTTTCTGTACCTTGTAATCTACTACTCAGCAAGTCTGCATACAGATTAAGCCCATCTTTCGGGTTCCCATGAATGCAATACCCCAAAATCATTGCATTCCAGCAGACTATGTTCTTGACCGACATCTGATCAAAAATCAAACGAGCAATTTCTGCTCTTCCGCATCTACTATACATATGGATTAAAGTCGTACTAGTGATCAAATTCAAATCTTTAGATACCTTAATAAGAGACCCGTGAACAGATTTTCCTTCTTTCCTCCGAGCTGACCAAGCACAAGCAGTAAGCACAATAACTACAGTTGCATCATTCCCATTCCATCCCCTCTGTGCCATTTCTCGGAACAACTTTAGGCACTTCCCGGGGTTATTCGACTTCAAATACCCATTCATCATGACATTCCACCCAACTAAATTCCTCCATTGGCATTGCATCAAACAACTGCCGTGCAACCACTAATTCACCCACTTTTATATATCCATTCACAATGCTGTTCCAAGACACAGCATCCCTCTGCGGCATTTCATCAAACACCTGTCTAGCAAGACCAACAACTATAACAATGCACCAAAGAATTCTGAACATGCAAAACTCGATCAACAC